ACTATAGCCTACACCTCTATCGAATTCCAACTGTCAGGGGATCTTTTACGTGCACGCCAATGCATACACGGGACCTCGGGTTTTCAGGCCCTCCTTGCTGCACCACGGACAAGGTGAAACCATGTCGGAAAATCCCGATGAACTCCCGATGTAGGGATCGAACACGCGACCTCCAGGCTAGCGAGCCAGCATCTTTTTTTTCTTTTTTTTTTAAATTAAAATTCAGGCTCATACATTCAAATGTTTCAAACAATATAAAAATGAAACATTAAAAGACATTTATATCACAGACTGAAAATAAACGATATAACTATAAGTAAATAATTAGTAAATAATTCATAATATTTTAACAAGGTTATTGTCTGAAACAATAGAAGGAATGAACGAGAAGAGATGCAGTGAAAGTGGGGGCCGGGGGGAGGGGAGGTTATAAAGTAAAAATGTGGGGCTTATCGAAGGCTCGGATTCGCCATACAGAGGGCATGATTTCACAGAGGTCCTGGTTATCCAGCGAATTCGCCCTTATTGCATGGTAAGCCGACTTATTATATAATGACTAATTGTTTGCCAGATTGAACTCTGGCACTTCTACTGACGTTGACTTGTAGATTAATCGCGTAAATTATTAATTTCCTTCCTAGGCCGGACTTTCTTCCGTATGCAAATGAGCTTCGTCGTAGATCCCATATAAGGTATATGTTCTAATATGCTAAGTTCCATTATGTATTTGTCTATAGTGCAAAATGCAGAATGGAGAAGTGTAACGTACAAAATAACTATTATACTGTATTTTGTATCATTCAAAAATGTATTATATATTTTAACACTGTGACAATGGAAATTGCAAATTGTAAAACTAAAATACGTATTTTGAACTGCTGATATATGCAGTTTGTACAGTTAACATTGAAATAATATTGGCAACATTATCCTTCCATACATGATAAGCCAGCCTTTCTACAAAGCCTTCATGGACATGGCTTGCGTTCAGGCGAAAATGTAAACCTCGATTAACGATCGCCTGGGATTCTAAACAAAGTTTTACATAATTATATCAAGGGTATATGAGTAAAACATCCTACAATTTTGAAAAAAAGAACAATTTAAACATCATATCAAATAAAGTTGTGTTATTCTTAATAGATGAGACAGGAAAGAATTTATTTCCATTGATAATATAACAATTAAATGAGCTAAAGCATAAAATTCAAAAGTATACACACGAATTAGAATCTAGTATTGATCCATGTCAATTAATATTGATGTTGTTATCTTGCCGTGAATATTTTAAAATTAGTACACGAGTATTCAATGGTTCCGGGTCCCATTTGGAATAAACAAAGAAAAACATATCCTATAAGACAATGCAGGGTTAATGTCTGATTTACAAACGTTACAAAACGCGTGGACTAAGAAGGCGTAAACGACTGCCGTTCAAACTGGATTGTTCACGTATTTCACCGAACATAATTAATTAGATATTACGATTTTAAAAGATAAAAACTGAACATAAATCACTTTATATACATCCATACTACATTAGAATGTGCTTTTAGCCCCATTTCCGTCCTTTTTAAGGTCCCAAAGAACAGAGCCATGCGCCCTTTAAGTACAGAAGCTACGCCAATTTGTTGGCATTTAAGAATAAGCGATATAGGAGAATTAAAAACGCATGGCGGTGAACTGTAATAAACTGACATCTATAAAAGACGTTAATTGTTCCATGTTCCAGACAGTTTTGAAGTGTTAGCTAATGTAACTGATACTGTTTATAAGAAAAGGTATTGGGTTAGACATAAGTTGATGATAAATGTCAAGGTACACGTGTAAATCTAAACAAATATAAATAGATATCTTTTAGATATTATACATCTTTGCGATAGAAAGATGGTGAAGATATCGCCATATTTCACTTATTATCGTATGATGTCAATATCATTATTACCTTACTATTCTTCCTTCCCTATGTATGAAGTGGTTTTGTATGCGCCGTGATACAGGATTGTTTACAACTAAACCAATAAGTTGAATGTGCCTAGATTTGTAGCATTTGCAGGGTCGTTTAAACTTCCGGTAAAACAGACCAGGTTCCTCAAAATAACGCATGTATTCTAAGAAATTATAATATGTATAAGTTTTGTTAAGAACGCACGAGTGTTATAAATGTAAGTTTGTTGACGAACCAAGGCAAATATACGACGTCAACGTGATATTATTATGATGAACGTGTGGTAAAAAGACCATAGTCCTGTTCGGTATTAGCCAGCCTGGTTCGCTCTCGAAGGTAAACAAAGCAGACCCCTCTAGTGGTAAAGGGCGATAATCAGACACTTTCTATAAAAGTGTACGATAAAGAACCTACTTTTGCAAGTCAAGACGTAGTGAAGGTTTTCCAATACTAAGCATATAGTGTGCTTACAATTTTTAAAGCTTCCAATACCGAATTCGTGTTTTGTGAAAAATACATCCAATTTTGGAACGGGTTATTTCTTCGTGAACTATTACAGTGATTACGGTGATAAAATAAAATGTACAAACAGCCTTGTAAGCTTTGTGAAACCCACGAGGTTGGACAGGCGACACTACTTCTTATCACGTACACGTGAGACCGAAACCGCGCCAATTGACTCAATGACAGGCCTTATGATCCAAAGCACACAAACCTCTCTCCCCCGTTGCAGTGCTATAGCTATATAAGTTAATAAACGTTCATATAGATCCATTCGAAAACGAAATAGATCTATATACATCAGGTTATGTTTCCAAAAGTCGCGTGAGAACGCAAACCACCAGGTAGATCGCGCAGACGATGAATCTAATTACCACATCATCAAGAGTAAAATGGTGCCTAGATTGGCATAATAGTCAGTAGACAATTTATACCGCAATTCGACAGAGTGGCGTAACTAACAGACATAGATGACGGCGGTTTAGAAATGAAATGAAATGAAATGGATTTAAACGTCCTACTGTTCTCCTCCGAACTGGGCTAAGGAAGACGGACATAAGCCATACATTGTGTTATGAGGGAAATTTTGCCCGGACAGCGGCACTACGGCCTACTCTTATATCGAATTCCAACTGTCAACCGATCGATTACGTGCACGCTAATGTGTACACGGGACCTCGGTTTTTCGTGCCGTCCGAACGACTAGACAGCTGTCACTGACAAGGATGAACCACGCCGGAAAATCTGGATGAACTTTCTCGGCCAATGCAGGGATCGAACACCCGACCTCCAGGCTAGCGAGCCAGCGTCCACAACGGCATAGTAAAGCCGTGCATATTATAGATTTGTAAACAGAAACAACGTGATATCTTGCATAATTTTGACAACAATTTTCCAATACATTGCTGAAAGCTCCAATTTGCAAGTAACGATTTTGTAACAGTTCGTCGACCGGTCGTGTAAAATAGCTTAAGAGCATATTACGTTGATAATTACAAGGTCAATCAACGGATATTACGAATAGGATTTTAAATAAAATTAATTACATTTATTTCAATTTAAAGTGGCATCGTTCTACAAAAAATAACATGCGGTTGCCATGCGAGATACGCCCACATTTTGCAAGAGGTGGTGGGGAAAATAGGAGCCATTATCCAGGAAGTTCCTGTCCGATATGCGCGAATTCAAAAAGAACAGAGATCTTTGGGATATAAACCTATCTTCAAAGTTTCATACAAAATCGGTTAAAAATTGTGAACCTTGAGCGGCTAATTTGTCGGGCAGTTCCGGTCCGATTTTCACAAAATTCGAACTAAATCACATAGGCGCACGGGCTTGATACATGTTGGGGAGGGGGGGGCATAACCTGAAATGCCTGAAAAAAATTTGGGTTACATACGTCTAGCCCCCCCCCCCACCACCACCAACACCGCCAACCCAAAGAGAATTTGACGGCCGCAAACGCGGGTTTTTTTTGCTATTTCAGTACCTGCTGAATACAGCAAGTGGTCTAATATAGCTTAACTTAGGTGTCTGACTCGAATTCCAATTAACCAATTAATCGTTTACAGTCCACGGAGAATACGGCAATTTCCATATAGCCTACCTTATGTGCCTTACCTGAATCCCAAACAGCCAATCAAAAATGCGTTTTTCTGCTATTCTAGCCCATGAGTTAAGCAACTTCAAAGTTTCCAATCGTTTTGTAACCGAAATCCCCCTCTATGCCGAACTGAATTCGAACCATCCCATGCAGCTGCCTTCACAAATAATAATCGATGCCCGAAAAATGTCGCACAAAGTAGAGTTGCTCCAGGCAAAATGTTTTAATCCACAGTCAATAAAGTACAAATTCGTGGTATTCAATGAAAAGAAAAGTAAAATTAGTGTTTGCTTTCGGGTTATGTTTTACAAATACAAAACTTGGAATGTCAGTCTCAAAACAACATGGTAAGTTTTTAACTGTAATTTTGACGCTACATTATAGTTACTTAGTTGTATTCATTGGATACATTTATTTTCCTTTTCCGATTTCGTTGTCAAATACGATGCGATATTAACTGTATTTTTTTTATCTGACAAAACATTCAATAATGGCTCTTCAAAAAATCTACAGTCATACCTCAGCATAATAATACATAAGAGACATAAATTGGGGTTAAACGTTAACTCGACACAAGCTAGGCCATTTCGAGACTAACGTAATTATGCATAATTGTATTTCATTAATTTGTTTTGCTTGCGAGAGAACCGAAGCTTCTTTTAAAAAAAACACCAGGTTTGACAGGCGACCCTGTACTCCATGTCAGGTACAAGTTTGGGATCAATAATATATGGCCTAGTAAGTTCTAATATTCATATTATTATTTCAGTATTTTACTGCATGTTAATTCATAATTTTCTTCGAAAGTACTTAAAACGGCTCTTTTGGGTCAGAAAATATCGTAAATTTTACAGAAGTAATTAATTGGTTGAAACATTATCGGAAATGAAATCAATGTTTTTAAATTAAACATATTGGTTACTAAAATCAAAGATATTTTAAACTTACCATTCGAAAAACTTGAAATATGAAGACTTTAAATTCAGCGTCTACTCCGATATTACTAATAATAATATAACAACTAATAATGATCAGCCCGGATAAACTTGAGATAAAGATCTTAGAGGAAATAAATTCATTGTTTCGAATGGCAATATACAAGCCTCTAGATAATATTCCCACGGTTAGTAAGAAAATACTGCTTTATACATAGATGCACTAGTATATAACTTCACATTCACTAAGTCAATGAATTACCAACTTTTACATAGATCGGAAACAACAGGAATCACGACCAGCCTCGTTCTCATAACGTTCGTCTGCTAGACCTAACCTTTATCTATTGACCTCAAACACGTGGTACCATCAAATGAGAGGAAATGATCGGAAACTCTCTCTTGACTCAATTAAACCATTGTATGATTGGGTATATTGAATAAATGTGCTGATTATACGTTTTATTTTTCTTCTACCAACGTACATGTTTGATATTGGGAATGTTAATTATTTTAAGTGCTTGATTTGTAATGAATGAATGTTCACTTTTAAGGATGGTCGACTTTGGTTCTTTAAATCCACAGCACTTTTATCGACAAAACTGGTTCTTAATGAACATACGCTGTCAAAAGTTCGATCAAAAGATTAAAACAACTTTGTGGGGAGGATTTGTAAGCTGTAGGTTTTGATGGAACAACTATTGATGTTATTATCAATTGATTTTTAAACATAATACAATATGTGTTTTTTTCCTTAATTCAATTTTTTTGTTCAGTTGCAATTTGTTTGTTTTTGTTTGAGTTGCAAAGAATGGATCAACAACCGATTGAAAACATTTATATATGAAGTCACTGGAGGGTCGATCCACAATATAGGAATACAGTCTCTTTGAATTTTCTATAAATCAAAAAGAAGTGTAATCGCGCTGAATAATTAATCTACGCAGCTTAAAATGATAAAATGTTTACAGTTTTAAATAATAGGTTCCTTTAAGGCTACGTCACACCAAGGACTAGTACTTAGTGACAACCCGATTTGTCATCACTAATAATCGTTACGTCTAAACATACTATATATACCACCACCCCCTCTCCCTCTAAATTATCTATAAAACAATTTTAAACCTACTGGCTTTAAGTAAATGATTTGCTGCAGACCGGAAGTACAAGGCGAGGCTACTATGAAACGAAATCATTCTCTTTTACGATAACTGTTGCCGGATTATTACCAAGTTAAGCTAACGGAGATGGGTTGAAGGGAATGCCAAAAAGATGAACCTAGCTTTATCTACCGTGATGGATTTTTTATGGGACAATATGTCGGACATTTAGGGCAGATGCAACTACAATGCATAGTCGAAGATTTGTCGGGTTATATAATTTGACAAACACCAATAAAGAGTATTTGTCGATGATGGAACCGACAAAGACTTCATGGTGTGCACTAGTCTTGATTGTTTAAGTTGGTTCTATTATTGTCCTATTGACATAAACTCAATTAAGTATTCAATTAAACAGACTAATGTACATAATACTTTATACCCTTCAGTAATACCGTTGATTACTACTAATCGATTCCCTTAAGTCCTATATTATTACTACAATATATTTTGATAACTATCAACGAAGACTGATATGGAACATAAATATTAATCTGGTTGTACAAACAAGAACGATCGATCATTGGAGTCTTGGACTCATTCTTTCCAGATTTCAACCTGCAAAAATTAACCAGATATTTTCGCCAGCCATTGGACTTATGGCGACAAGTTAATTCATGCTAAGATCATTCGACCCACCGAGACAGACTATGTTTGCATCGGCTGAACAAGTACTTATATTATATGTAGCCTTCAGTCGAGTACAATCGGACCATCTGCCCAAAATATCGATCGAATATTTTGATATGATATTTATAATCTCGTCAGATTTAAGCAAACTGTAGGTGACTTTGGGGTGGCCAAAAATACGCCACACAAAACTAACAAGAGTAAATGCTAATTATTTTGATTTCTAAGAAAAGAAAACAACCCGTGCTTCATCTATAATGGCCGTTGATAATGTAGCTCGTTCCTTGGGCAGTTTTGGCTTATCTGACAACATGAATTAATATAAGAAACAATAGTTATAGACATTATTATTATAATTATTATTGAAAATCTTGTTGAATAGAACTGCTGATACTATTGGATTCGGTAAATGGCTATATAAATTTATTCTTTATTGCTAATCTGGCAAATATATAAACCACGGGGTACGTTACATTAAATTGCTTTATCTCTATTCTCTCTGGAAAGCATCACGTGCCTTATACTTAATTACATTCACCAGACAGAGATTTTGTATATTATATATCGGTACAAAAAAATATTAAACAAATAGACACCTATCAACAATATGATATGAAACATCCGTTCATCATTAACACCATTACAAAGAAATGGGGAATACGTTTAGGCAGGAATCGACAAAACTTGTCTCAAATTCCTACTCCTTTGTTTTTTGCAATTTCGGTTGATGGTTATATATATCTGTCTTTATATTTAGACCAAAAACGTATTTCTCGTCTCCTCTAATTATACCCAACCGATGCTTTTTCTATTTTTTTTTTTCAGCAAATTTTACAAAAAGTTATGCCCGTCTTCATTAGCCCAGTATAGGAGCAGAACAGTAGGACGTTAAACCTCATTCCATTTCCAAAACGTTATATTATGCTTATGCTTGATGGAAGTCTTATCTCCAAAGAAAACATACAATCATTTCATGATAATCGTGGAAATAGTGTTCGTATAAATCATTTATTTGCTGTGATTGGGTGTCCGTTACATGCAGGGGATCACGTGGCTAAGTGGGTAAGACGCTGGCTCGCTAGCCTGGAGGTCGGTGTTCGATCCCTGCATTGGCCGAGAAAGTTCATCCCGATTTTCCGGCGTGGTTTCCCCTTGTCAGTGATGCAGGACTGAGGGCCTGACAAGGACAGCTGTCTAGTCTTTCGGATGAGACGAAAAACCGAGGTCCCGTGTATACATTGGAATGTACGTAAAAGATTCCCTGGCAGTTGGAATTCGATATAAGAGTAGATGATAGTGCCGCTGCCCAGGCAAAATTTCCCTCCTAGCACACTGTATGGCGTATGCCCGTCTTCATTAGCCCAATATAGGAGCAGAACAGTAGGACGTTAAACCCCATTTCATTTCCGTTACATGCATTCTGCATACTGTAATTTATTTTAGGCCAGAGTAAGAATACCTGTCCTTATTACGTAGTAGCCATAATGTGTAATAAATAAAATACGAAGACACCAAACAAAACAGTTAGTTGTATAATTTGTTCGTTTGTGGTACAGTTGTTTGTGTTAATTTAAATGCCTTTAGTATCCCTACAAAAAAATGTCATCGTTATATAAAACTCATTATTACTCCACTATCGGTGATATAGGAGATGATTATAGGTGTTTTCTCCCGTCTGTTTGTCATTTTTGTGTTCCAGAGTTCTTTTGGTTAACTGGGGTTGGTATATTGTTATACAGCAGAGTTAAAGATTAGGTTCGTGTTTCCTGAAATTCTGTTAATTTTTTTTAGTGAATCATGGCCTTTGTTGACATAATTTCTTCCATCTATACGTATTTGGATTATATCTTCACAGAAATGTATTTGCAGTATCAAGTTCGTATAAATGAAAATGAAATAAAATGAAATGATATGGGGGTTTAATGTCCTGCTGTTCTGCTCCCACTGGGCTAATAAAGACGGACATACGCCATACAATGTGCTATGAGGGAAATTTTGCCCTAGACAGAAGCGCTATTACCTACTTTTATATCGAATTCTAACTGCCAATGGTAGGTGGGACCTCGGCTTTTCGTCCCATCCGAATGACTATACTTTGTCCTTTTCCAGCCCTCCGTCCTGCACCACTGACAAGAGGAAACCACGCAGGAAAATCCCGATGAACTTTCTCGGCCAACATAGGGATCGAACACGAGACCTCTCGGTTAGCGAGTCAACTTCTTACTCACCGAGTCACCGTGGCTCCTCTCGTTTAAATGTAAAATTAGTTGGGTCATGTATTGCCTCAGCAATGCTCCCTGAATGCTTGTCTAAATTTGTTTACCGAATACAGACAGTTGGCCTAGAATGTTTCAATTAATCGCTCAGAAATATGTGGAATAGCGTAGCAACTTTACTTTCGTTAAAACCAACTATTTATCTTCGTTGATTTCGAGTGGATTTAAAGTGTTCTGAACTAATACTAACTGACAGAGCCTTCCTATTCTTTATTAAAAAAAGTATGTTATATACGTACACCTTGGGTTGCAAGGAACTTAGCATCTATTAATAGACAAAAACATATGGTATAACATAAAACTATAACTTTAAGTTCTGACTCAGATATACTTTACCATGAATATTAAAACAGTGAATTATTAAAATTACACCTGAGAGAAATGAAATGAGATAAAACGGTCCTACCTTTTTACACCAACTTAGTGTTTTGTAACAAGTCAACAATGGTGTTGAAAACATTTTGATTCCCCTATGGCTGTATTGATTTTTTTTTTTTTTTTTTTTTTTTTACAGTAACTGAATAATGAATTGCATGATTTTTTGTCATTAACGAATATTTTATTTTTTGGTGCAGTTTAAATAAACATGATGATCCTTTTAGTATGTCTTTGTCCTTAAATCAATTTCAATGTACAACAATTTTTGTTCTCTTTTTTATATGAATAACATAAAGGCCTCTTTCATATATTACAGCGTACATGTATATCTTATTTTAGATTCATGGTATATCGACTCCTTCGTCAAGTTCAACAGACTTTGTGAACTAACAATGACGTTGACAATATTAACGCTAGCTGGATCCTTTCCGTGTAAAAGGAAACTGACATCACGGGCGGAATCTACAAAGCTCCGATAACCACCCCCTAATGGATATAACGCTGACAATATTAACGCTAGCTGGATCCTTTCCGTGTAAAAGGAAACTGACATCACGGGCGGAATCTACAAAGCTCCGATAACCACCCCCTAATGGATATAACGTTGACAATATTAACGCTAGCTGGATCCTTTCCGTGTAACATGAAACTGACATAACGGGCGGAATCTACAAAGATCCGATAATCATCCCCTAATGGATACTACGTTGCTTTGTTGTTGTTTTTTTAATTATAGATATAGCTTCATTCAATATGATAATACAACAGTAATTTATTACTTGTAAGGTACTCGTATCCCCAATAATCCAATAAGATCAATAATA